AGCCTCACTGATAATCCGCTACTGCATACAACGGTAGACAGAGACTATAAGTCATAGTCACATAGAATGACTCGAACTAAATAAAGAAACACACTGCTATGAACTTATCAGTAGACACCAGTGAATACTCGTTGGGATCACGTGTTTTTTCGCATTTTCTTAGTGTGTCGTTCAAAATTTCACGGGTTTACACATTTGGAGATCAAAATAAAATACAGACGATGTTTAATCTTACCTAACGTCGTTCTTTTTGGCATTATCTTTACCTTGAACTGAGATTCATCAGATCTGTTCTAAGCGTACTTTCGCTTTAAATCGAGGCTTCCAAATACAGTGTTTCCGCTTTAAATTGAGGTTTACAATAGCACGTGTCGTGTCATCTGCTTGTGCTTGTTATTACTTGCACTTTTTACATTGTATCGTACTACTAGGCTATAATATAGCGCTATTATAGACGCTATTGAACATGAGTATGACTATGCTAATTTTGTGACAACGTTTGGCGCGAAACAACAGTAGCTAGCACTGACAGGCAGGGAGCCGTACGTGACTAACGTACGCAATTAATTGGTGGCTAGCTTTTTTTTCGCACGTATACAGTGAATGGCCATTTTGCTCATGCAGTAATCCCAGCCAGAATTTGGCTATTTTCTAAATTTGCGTTAATGTTTAAAATATTTGTTTTAGAACTGAAACACATTATTAGTCAATCCCAACGCTAAAAACATCAACAGAATTGATTGTGTATATCTGAAATACGCCCGACCGACGCACAAAATAGTGCAATATGGCGGCCTCTATGAACAACCCTCGTAGACGCTGTCATTGAAGACAACGTCAATTCTATGAGTTGTAGATGTTATTTTTGTGAAAAATCATTGGAAGAAGAGAGAACATGTTGGAACTGTACGAATTATATAATCTTTATGGGTGCAACGGACACAATGCTGAAGATAATCCTATTGTTTACAATGTTACGAGTTGTTGACCATTGACGTCAATGTCAAGACCTGTGATGTGTAGATCACGTGATATTGATATCATGGCTATTGACTGTGTCTGAGATACTTCTCTGCAGGAAGGGTGTCTCAGATGTTCAGAATGGCAGGGAGCGTGCGGGGGGGGGGGGCTAGGAAGCTAGGAAACTTGTCCAGGGGCCTGGAGCCTAGAGGGGCCCGGAGGTATGCCGCGTAATGTTTTAGAAAATGAATATTGGTATAAATTTACAATAAAAAAAAAATACATTGTTACTCTCGTCACCATCAGGGTAGGCCTATCCGGACCCTGTAGGTAAACAAGGCCTATTCCGGGTTACAACGATGGTGAATGCACCATATGATAAGAAACATTACCTCTCAACCCTATGTGTTTCGAGATAAGAGATGGTGCTATATAGTTTCTTGTAGCAAACCCCAACGCTCTTCCCATCGGGATTCAAGTAAGCAAAATTGGCAATTTTTTCTTCAAAACAAAGATTTATTATTGTTATTTACAACATTTCTGCCACATCCAACTACAATTAAGCATAAAATCCTACCTGATATGGGTACAAATCCCCCCTTTTTAAATCGAAAAGATAATATAGATTGCTTTCTCCGACAGTTTAAAATAAACGCCTTTACACATAAAGTCAAAGTACTAACCCGATCCGAGTTGCGCAGGAGTAATACACCGTAATTATGAATGTCCGTATCAATTTTGATTAAAACAACGCTTGATTTACTTTATTGACAATATTTGCTGATAAATGAAAGTTGTTTCAGTAGATTAGGCTGCGTAATAGTATGTGTAATAACTTCTAATAGTATAAAATTATCTTATTTTTAAGATATTACATGCATTAGTTATTAATAAAGAAATTAAGTTTACCAGCTGAAACTAAAGGCACCCAATCGTAGCTGAAAACAAGCACGTCAGTATATCTCAACGTTTTTAGCTACGTTCTCGTAGCTAAGCGCATCAGTGTCGCGCTCTGCCGCCAGAGATTATTAAAAACGAAAATGAAGCCCAAACTTTTAACTTTGTTTCGTTAGGCGCTAAAATTTCGATATTTTTGCCAATAGCGGACCATTTTCCGACCAATGACAGCGTGATTCGTCACTAATATCTCCAGAAGAAGCTTGTATTTTGCGTATTGAAAAAAATAAACGAATAGTTTATGCGATGAAAAAACTTTCTTTTTCATATTTTGGTGTCTGGTGGTCATGGTTTTTGTTTTCCCATTTGTTTGCCTTGCTTAAAATTTTCTGTAAAAATCGTATACATCTGATTATTATTACATCAGTAAAACGAAAACGTTGTGCTAAATCTCAGTTTCCGTGTTTTAACAAAGTGGCATGTTACTAGTTGACCGACATTTTAAATCCTAAATCGACGATTTTAGTCGAAAACACCTAGTATTCTTCTAGAGTTTTGTAAAAGGAGCTAAATCGCTAATATCTGGGACCTAGAAATTGACACAAATGGGTCGCAATGCATACAATAATGTAATATGAATGTATATAAACTGATTTACATTCAATCGTTTCTATTTTTACTGTAATTTCTAATCAGTTATGTTCGGCGAAATGCGCCAAAGTCTCAATTAAATGACAATCTTTAGCGTCTGGTTATTCCAGTCTACACCGATGGTATTTATTGCGCATGCTCTCCAGATAAGAATATAGCGTCACCATTTGACATGATTTGTGGAATATGTCTAGCCTCGTTCTTTGAGACGCATTATGGTACACGATTCATGTACCAATGGTAAAATGTTTATTTTGTCTTGAATATTGGATATCAGAAGCCCATCTTTTCCCTGTAAGATCACAAGAACAATGTTGATTTAAATTGACAAATAATTCGTGTTTTCAATGTCGAAAATTTTTGACGATATTGAGTTAGAGACTTAGCTACTTTAAGTACATATTCTGCTTCCATTTAATAAAACTGAAAAAGTCCATTTAGTCTTTGTGCGTATGACAGATGTAGAATCGGAGTAGAAACGCATTACAAAACAATATACTAATGTTTTGATATGGCGGCCATTTAAGGCATCTATTCTCGAGGAATAAAGTAGATGGATCCCTGTGCGCAGAATGATGTTACCCCAGATATATGCCAAAATGACCGTAATGATATACGCTCCAGCTTGTTTTTCTACGGAAGCGTGTAGGGGTCATGCAGATTTTTTTTCCAGAACCCTCGCAATCCTGTCATTATTATTATTATTATTACAGCATATTTATAGTGCACCCTTTCATATAACATGTTCAGGGGCACTTTACAAAGTGACAATGTAAATCACACATAAACAACAAGATTATGGGCATGTTAACGATTTTATGTGGTACATTCTCGAGATTCAAATTTAATGTCCTCGAGTTCCCCTAATAATTTTCTCGAGATTATGACATCCTGTGTATTTTTATACTCCCAATTTGCAGCGCTCGTCTTCGTTTTGGAGTTACCCCCGACCCCACCCTTTCCGGAAATCTTGTTAACACAATACAGTTTTTAACTGATTTTGTTTTTAAAATGTGGTGTGAAGCACTGGGACCTATCGATTTTCAGTTCTCCGCAAATGTCTGTTCCAGAGTTACCCTCCTTATCCGTAAACGTTGTTGACGCGATTGAGGTTACAGTTTTTAACAGTTTTTTTTCCTTCAAATATGGGCTGATGAACCACATCGATATTCAGCGCTCTGTTCCTTAATACATTCACCCTCCCTCCAAATGCCTTCTTAACGTCATAGAAGCTACACTTTTCAAAGTATTTCTTTTAAATTTGGTGTGAAGCATTGGGGTTACGAGAGGACGAACTCTGTTGATATTCAGTGCTCAGCGATCTTCTGTTCCAGGCAGGGTAAGCTTACTCTTCCGGGCACCTGTTACCACTGTTTGTCGTGTATTTTGTACACAGTGAACAGTCCATTTGCTGATTACACTATTTTGCCTAGACCGTTTTTTTTAGGACTTCGGATTTTGTCTAATGGTTTGGATTGTTCGTACTTGGTTTTATTTTATTTCCATTTTCCGAAAACCTTGTTAACGCGATAGAGACTTAGTTATTAACGGATTTTCGAAACGCAGTGTTCCGCGACAAGGATGCATCCTGGTGATTGTCGGCAATGTACGATTTTCTGTTACAGAGATTAAATATTATTTGTCCGGGAAAGCTTGTGAACACGATAGAGATTAGATTTCTTGAAGGATGCTAGATCCTTATTAAATTTAGTCAACAGCCAAGTTGTCCTTTTGGATAATCCTCTTTTGAGACATAGCTTTGCTTGGATCTTTTAAATTTTGTTGTGAAGCATTTGGGTCATGAGAGGGGGAATCCTATTGATGAACGCGATAGAAGCTACTAGCTAGATTTCTTTACCCGTTATTGCCACTAGAGGATGAACCTTATTGGTTTGAAGCGTTCCCTGGCTTTCCGTTATGGGGTTATTTCTCTTTTCCCGTAAACCTTGTGAACGCCCATTTACACTGTAAAAATTTCTAATTATTATTGGCCGAATAAAGTTAGGAAGGGACATTGAATAGACTCCATCTGTTAGTATTTCCACCAACATTTCGTGAGTCAAATATTTACATCCTATTGACATTAAAACAAACATGGGACATGTAATGAAGATGTTTCTTTATGAAAACTTGGGAAAGAGAGAGAAATGGGGTTTAACGTCCACTCGACACAAACTAGGTCATTTCGGGACTAACATATGGTTCAATTTTATTTCAATAATTCGTTTGCGCGTAGGGGTCTTTAGCAGTGGGAGGAAACCAGAGGACCCGGACAAAACCCACAACTTGTCACGTACAACCGGGGATTCGAAACCACGCCAGCTGACTCAATGACAGGCTTTATGATACAGCGCGCACGTGCTAACCATTCGGCCATCCAACCCCCCTACGAAAACTTGGGACGTGTAATGAAGATTTTTTATTTATTTTTATAAACAAACACATGGAGCATGTAATCATCATGGTGTTGGTCAATAAACATACACATGAAACATAATCAATATGTTTAATAAACATGTAATCAAGATGAAACATAATCAATATGTTTAATAAACATGTAATCAAGATGAAACATAATCAATATGTTTAATAAACGTCATGTAATCAAGATGAAACATAATCAATAAGTTTAATAAACATGTAATCAAGATGAAACTTAATCAATGTGTTTAATAAACATGTAATCAAGATAAAACATAATCAATATGTTTAATTAACATGCAATCAAGTTGAAACATAATCAATGTGTTTAATAAACATGTAATCAAGATGAAACATAATCATGCCTCTGTGGTCACATTTTTGAAGATCCTCATCACTACCTCTTGCAATGCTCCTTACATTCAAATGCACGAAAGGAAACTATAGACAAATTACAACACGATCATAAAAACATTAACTATCTCTTGTTCGGGTCCACAAAACACTATACAGATGTAAACAACAATATTTTTAATCAAGTCCACAGGTTTACTGACATGTCAAACAGATTTTAATCTTGCTTATTAATTGTTTTAATTTACAATATTAGTTTCAAATTTACGTGATGATGTAACCTATAATATATATTGTACATTGCCATCTGTCTCATGATATATGTATTTTACATATATTTATGTATGTGTTTGCCATTTTAACTGTGTATATACACCCATTTTGTTCCTTTGTTTTAATATCATGTATGTATATTATCTAGAGAGAGGGGTTTTACATAGGCTAAGCCTGTTCCCCAATCTCATACTGACAAACTGAATAAAATATTGTTTATAAAAAAACCATAATCAATATGTTTAATAAACATGCAATCAAGATGAAACATAATATGTTTAATAAACATGCAATCAAGTTGAAACATAATCAATATGTTTAATAAACATGTAATCAAGATGAAACATAATCAATATGTTGTTTAATACAAAAATACACAGAAAATGTAACCAAGACGTTGGTTAATACACAAACACAGGGAACATGTAATCAAGAAATCTCAACAATATATATCATAGCATATTTGATGCGTATTAAGTATGATATATTATGAATATTTTTTTTTTAATTTACCAATTTTATTGGCTATAGAATGTGGAAAAAAACCCAAATGTAATGAAATCAGGTCAAACTTACAATTAAACACTTGTTTATTTCTACTCATGAAGAGTGTGTTTTAAGGTCAAAAGGATGTAAATCTGTGACCAAAACATGTCCATTCAATGGAACGTGTAACATTTGTTCATTTGTTGTCAAAACATGGAATATTGGCAATTATTCAAGTAAATAAGGCAAAATGTCCCAGCAGTTGTTAACCAACCATATCACCTACCTTGCTAGCCAATACCTAACAAAATAATTAAGTAGATTAACCAAAGTTTCAAATAATTTACACAAATCATAACAAGGACAGCTGTATATGTAATCAGTGTTACAGCAAATCATCAATCATAACAATGACCGCTGTATATGTAATCAGCGATACAGCAAATCATAACCAGAACTTAATTAGTGTGATGAAACAACGATGAATGACAGCATTTATTCCAAATGACAAGCTTATTGTCATTTTAAAAATTTAGAGATAAAAGAAACTATCAAAAGACATTAATTATAATCTCTATTCAATTCATTTTTAATAACTATTTTAAAATAAAAATATCTACACCCTTCAACTATTTTATGCATTGAATATCACAAGCATACAAGGGGTAGAACCTCTTTGAATAATGAATAAACTAAAGCATAAACTAGATTATATCTGATGTTTTAGTTTAGCTGAATGGGGTTTTACGTCTTGTAGATCAGGTCATTTTGAGACTAACACAATTTTATTTTTATGGTTATGTTTGTAATGTGAGAGTTTCCGTCTTTGAATTCCAAGATCCAATGAATCTTTTACATACCAATTGTACATGGGACATCAATTTTTCATCCCATCCCAACAACTAGACACACTTTTCCTGTCAGTCTAGAAGGCACTAACAACGACAAGCAAGAAGCACAGTTCAGTAGAAGTGGACCTGAAGAATAACCAAAATTACAATTTTCAATAAAGTGATTCATTTTGGAAAAATGCTAGTTTTACAGTAATTTGGCCGATGAATCTGAAGATATTTTGGTAATTTTTTAAATCAAGCAATCCTTACCGGCATATACCGTCACATTGGAACCCATGATAGAGTTTGATACCCTAAGCTAACAGACCTAATCAAATGAATACTTTTCATTACAAATCAAAAGAGGTTAAACCCCTTTAATGAGCACTTTTAAACAACTTTTCACTGGAATTTCACCATAAGATGGTTTGCTATATATAAGGCATTGGACGATGACAACAATGTTATATCATTCACCTTATAATACATGTATTATACAGTGTTATATCATGTATTATACAGTGTTATACCATGGACCTTTTAATACATGTATTATACAGTGTTATACCATGGACCTTATAATACATGTATTATACAGTGTTATATCATGGACCTTATAATACATGTATTATACAGTGTTATATCATGGATGTTATAATACATGTATTATAAAGTGTTATATCATGGATGTTATAATACATGTATTATAAAGTGTTATACCATGGACCTTATAATACATGTATTATACAGTGTTATATCATGGATGTTATAATACATGTATTATAAAGTGTTATACCATGGACCTTATAATACATGTAGGTTATACAGTGTTATACCATGTATTATACAGTCTAATATACAGGGAACACTCCATAACACAGATATAACACATGTACACAAACAACTAGCGAATTCCCAGTGTAGATAACAAAACCATATAACTATTAAACAAAACAGTCTAAATATCACTATACGCACTATAACTATTAAACAAAGCTCCCATAAAAATAACATAATACAATCTGAATACAGTTTCAATATCACACTGTACCAAGATTAAAGTGGCATCACTCACAAAGATAAGTTAAAATGTTTATACCTCTATTTATCTCCTACATTATAATTTAAAACCTTCTTATACACAAAATGTACATGCTCTGTTAAATAACAGCACATTGGCAGATAAATTCATATAAGCCCCAGATCATTTTAACTTAATATCATGAAAATATTTTATGCTGGGGAATAAAAAATCATATTATATCGAATATCAGGTTTGTTACCTACCAGCGAAGATCTGAAAGCATTAATTACACCTGCGAGCGTGCTTCTTTTGTGTTAGCTTGACGTATTTTAAGATTTCTTATGTTGGGGGGTGCGTAGCTCTAATACGTCGAAGCACACAACGCTCTCACAATAATTGTTATTCAAGAAGCTTTAATCTATAAGAAACATAAGTACTAATTATTTGACGTCGATCTGGGTTTATTAACGAATGAACATGAATAACACAAATAAAGATATATGAAATCATAATTAAAACATCATTTACAAATTATCTAGTAATGAATAGTTGAATATATAAAGTAAGCATATATTATGTGATCAAGTGCAATTGTAAGCTATTTCACATTATCATATTATGCATAAAAGAAACATACATTTATCAATAGCAAATATAAAGTATTATCATATTATGTGAATAAGTATAGTAAACTATTACACATTATAATATTAGGAATAACATAAACATATATACTAAATGAATTATTAGGCGACACAATTATAAACTAACTCACCTATAAGAAACATAAGTACTAATTATTTGACGTCGATCTGGGTTTATTAACGAATGAACATAATTGTTCGTATTTCGTCTCTTATATTTATACCCAGTCGCTATCGCCAACTTAATATCTTAATAATAATTACACTAGAATTATTTGAACATATACATGATAAGGGTTAACCATATAATACAAAATGTGATATAAATTAACATATTTACATTACTGAGACGTAACTCAAATATAGGTACACACTAAATAAATGACTAGGATGCATGTTAAGTAATATTAAATTATTTTAAGATTGTTGTGTAGAAAAGGTAAATAGATAAGACAGTGCGTCCAGATTAGAACGATCAGGGTTCGGAGTAAAGATTAACTTATCCACTTTAAAGCAATTAATCAATTAAGATAAGTAAATACATGTATATCAAAATATGTACTATAACACACCTTTAGTATAAGGTGGGGTTTTTGCATTATGTTGCGTTAAAGATAAGAACAATTTGAATTAAATCACAAAAGATTCAATTGTACCTTTCACTTATACCTTTCACAATCAGATTAAAACACAGATTCTATTTCGTTTCGTTTTTTTATAGTTCAATTTTTGTTTTACATGTCTTTACTACACTAGGATCTGGAAGCGTTGTTATATTATTGCCGTTCTGGTTGAAGTGAAAATTAGCCAATGTAATAGTCTGTTACAGCGACTTCTTGGCGTGCGATGCACGGAACTGTGGGTAAACCACTAGAAACGTCAACACTTGATTAATCAATGTCTGATGTCATAGGGTCAAAAGCCGCTCGTGTGACCCCTGCCGCGACCTTCGAGTACAACTGGTCAGATATTCATGTAATGTAGGCCATCGAATGTATAAAAAAACCGAAACGAAATATAGATATTCTGCCTTTCTATTAGTTTTCAAAATTTTAGCTTCTAAAGCTTTGGCAAACAAGGATCATTATTGCTTACACAGCAATTAAACGTACATTATGCAAGAGCTAAATCTGTCTATTGCAGGTCTTTTTTTAGGCCTGAAATGTTATCTAAATTATTAATTAGACATTAATCAACTTATGCAGACCATAATCAACCCTCGATGGCTTCGCTAGCTTGCGATGTGTATTAGATTAGATTCTGATTTTCTGTTCGACTTCCATTCTTAATTTAATCACGAAAAAGATAATCGAGGCTATGTTTTTTATCGTACCGACTTAAGTAATGATGATCGAGGCTAGGCCGAAAATTTGATCGCTAAAATCTCGGTTCAGAGTGGCTCAATTTGACTGAGATTTTCAGCAAATTCCCTTTACATTATCTAGTTTTTAACTATTATAGTGAGAACTGTCAGCTCTTTATCTAATCTCCCATAATGTATCGTTAACATTAAAGATTCCCCTTCCTTGCCTGTTTTTAAGAAAAAGTTAAAAACCCACCTTTTTAAAAGTCATTTTAATTGTTAAATGCTTAAACGTTTTCAGAGTTTACTTTTTATTATTGCATACCATATTTTATTCCAATTGTGCAATGTTGATAGGTATTTTTTTTTTTTTTTCTAAATCTTATTCTTGAGATGTTTAATATTTTATACCTTTACCATAATGTAATAGCGCCATAGAGCAATCAAAATATTGGATTATAGGCGCTCTATAAATAAATTATTATTATTATTATTATTATTGATTAATGATTTATAAAAAAAAGCTGCCAGATAATATTTACAACTTGTGAAAGTTCTAGGAATCCGACTTTTCCTCTTTTTCTATCAAATCATCATCTTATGAACTTTCCTCTTCATCTGTTCTATCATCTTCTTCATCATCCATTTCCTCACTATACTGTTGATTTTCACTACAATAAATAAACAATACATTTTAACACACTTTCATTACACAGAAAATAAATGGGGCATGCCCAGGTTAAGATTTTGTCATTTTAACAGACTTTCAAAACAATCGGAGTCTTAAAGAGTATGGCGGTATATTAGATTCAAAATTCTAACGTGCTATCGTCTAATTTCTTACTTCTGTTCATGTAATTTCTAACTTCTATTCATGTAATTTTTTTAATTAAGACAATGTATAATTCAACTTCTTTATCTATTCAGTGTAAATTTTAATTTCATCTACTTCTATTATTTAGACAAAAACGTCTTCTTCATTGATGCTTTACATGTTTAGCATGAACATCAACCACTGAACAAATAAAGAAGTTGGACTATGTCTTAATTTAGAAATTGCACGAACAGAAGTTAGAAATTAGACGATAGCATGTTAGAATTTTGAATCTAATATACCGCCATAGAACAGTAGGTAAAGCAGCGGTGCAGAAAGGAGAGCCTGGCAAGGACATGTTTCTAGTCATTCGGATAGACCAACAAACCTAAGGTATACTTGTTGGGGCGCCCATCAAAGAACCCTTGTCAATTGGAATTTGACAAGGGACAGATAGAAACCTGCTGTCTTGGCAAATTATCTCTGATGGCCTATATTCATTGGTGCAGAAATGTAAGACATTAAACCACATTCTATTTTCTCTAATCTTACTGGGGAGGGGTTGGGGGCTGCTGGGTTTTTAGTGGTTTAACCCATGCACAAGGACGGTCATTGAGTCAAGTGGCGTGGTTTCGTGACAAGGAGTAGGGTTACCTTTCCAGGAGGGTTGCCTTCCCAACCTGGTGGGGTTTTGTACAGGTTCTCCAGTCTCTCTCCCTCTCTCCCTCTCTCTCTCTCTCTCTCTCTCTTTCTCTCTGTCTCTCTCTCTCTCTCTCTCTCTATCTCCGTCCTTACCTGTAACTCTCAACCCTCCTCTTCATGACCACATTATTGGTTTGTCCAAGCTGAACGATGTCAGCTTTCACGTTATAATTTTTAACCCCATGATGATGATGGTGATGTATCGTCTGAACGTATTGTAAAACCTTTTTGTCATTCATTTTACTACATCCAGAACTACCTGCACCAGAGGCTGTTGGACTATCCTCTGTTACATTTGCATTCTCATCCTTTTCTTCATCGGCGGCAAAACTTTCATACTCAATAGATGCGGCCGATTCAACAGGAAATTTGTCATCTTTTGAAGAAGCCGGATTACAAACAAGGGTGGATTTTTGTTTTAATAACTCTTCTAATTTGCCCGAAGCTGGTTCTGTATGTTCTGCTGCAGGTCTAACACACGTAAATTGTGGACTAACCTCGGAACCTTGTACAAACGATTCTAAAAGCATTTGGTCAGTGGAATTGGGACCCATAAAACTTTTTGAACGTTGATAGCGGGAAGCACCTTCGGGAACTAAATCTGAAGAAGGAGCAATAACTGGCATGGACAAACTATGATCTAAGGTAGCTTTATGTTGCTTTAGCTCTTCTAATCTTGCTCTATCCTTCAACTGCTCCTGTTTTTCTCTGATCTCTTTCTCGTGCATATCCTTTTCATACTGAAATAACCACGCTCTCTGCATCGTCCCTTCCTCACGTTCTCTTTCCTTTCTCACGGATATTCGATCCTCAAACAGCTTTCTAATAGATTCTACATAGAGATCATTGCCTGAACAATATGTCACACCTTTTAATGTATTAATAATTATTGGTTTTTTATATTTGTTTCCTCGATTATCTGTTAAAACAGGAACCACGGACCAGCTTTTGTCATAATTTTCAATGGATTCCATGAGACTGGTCTGGCTAGAAAATCTAGCCCATTCATCGGTAACGAAACTAGAAGTTATAAAAAGGAACACAAATGTACATCGATCCAGAGCAAATTCTAACGCTTTGAACTTATTTCTCTGGGTTACCTCTATCTCATGTAAAAGTGCTATTTTCGGTCTCTCTCCTCCATGCAGTACAATTTTGGTTTCAAGACATTTTTTGAATTTCTCTACCTCGGGCAAGTCATTTTCACTACATAATATCACAGCATCTTTATATCCGTATTTTAATTCCCACGGCATGTGTCCTATGTATTTTTTTCTTTTGAAGTCAATTTCGTCTTTACCTCGAGAAACCGCTTTCTGAACCTGTTTTACTATTTCATAATCCTGTGGGCTCTCACTTGACTTTTCTGAACTACTTTCAGGAATTACTGGTACTGTATCTACAGACAACAGATAGTCATCTGTAAAAGAGAAAAACGAGTTGATATTTTTACAATTCCAAGACCATCATTATATAGGAAGAGAGAGAGAGAGAGAGAGAGAGAGAGAGAGAGGGAGGGAGAGGAAGAGGGGGGGGGGGTAATCGACACAAACAAGGTCATTTTTGGACTAAGATATGGTTCAATTGTATTTCAATAATTCGCTTGCAAGTAGGGGTCTTTAGCAGTGGGATGAAACTGGAGACCTCTGGCCTATTTCGCCGAACATAAAAGATTTGAAATTAGATTACAAACGGAAACGATTGAATGAAAACAGTTCATATACATTCATATTACATGATTACATGCGTTGCGTCCCAGTTGTGTCAATTTTTAGGTGCCAAATATTAGCGATTTAGTTCCTTTAATTGGAAATGTAATACAAACCATTCTGTCTGTTGACTTCAGACTTCCTGTTTGTTGTATTTTTACGTGTTCTGTCAGGCGTATTATTTCTTAATTCGTCTCCGTGTTTGTCGAGACTTGAAGCACCCACAGATTGATTATCCGAATCGTTCTGTATGTAAGATGATTCTGTCCTCCTTTCATGATCTGGCAAATCACACTGGGGCACCTGCAGTTCACAGAAGGCATCATTTTTAGGTTTGCTCATACATTCGGCTTCCTAAAATTTTGCAAAGAGATAAAAAAAAGACAGTTGCATATATGATGGTTTACATTTACACATAAAAATAAAACGAAAGATTCAATGAAAACATAACTGATATATCGAATTCCAACTGACTAGGGATCATTTACGTGCACGTCAATATATACACGGGGCCTCGGTTTATTGTCTCACCCGAATGACTAGACAGGCCCTCCGTTTTGCACCACTGACAAGCCACTATAAAAACAAGCCAACACCTACGCCATGTGTGAACATTCTAACTCCATTAGAATGAGAGTTATTGTGTTCCAAAGTCTCGACCAATCAAATTGCTTGTCACTCTGCTTACCCTGAGCAGAAAATGTTCATTATCGAACTTAGTCAAGGTACTGTTGCAATAAAACTATACACCAGGTTTCATCACCAATCAAATGGCTTATCTCTGCTTAACCTAAGCAGAAAATGCTCATCTTCGAACTCCATCAAGGCATTGGCCTAATAAACACCTACACCAAGTTTGAACATCTAGCTCAATTAGAAAGAGAGCTATTGTGTCCCAAAAAGTGTGACGGACAGACGGACGGACAGACAGACGGACGAACCCATTTTAATAGTCCCCTGCTTTCTTCGAAAGGCGGGGGACAATAATTCTAGATGGCATCTTATATCAATCCCTTCAAGGACAATATTGATGTCAGTCATTATAAAATATGTGATAGAGATCGTTAAATACATCCCAAATATAATTTTTTAACACAGAGATCATTGCTACGGGAGATGTGTAACAAGCACATGAAGAAACCGGAAGTGACGTCAAACATGACAAACACGAGTTGTCCTTCTATATAACTGACTGAAGTAACGAGCGATAACAAACAAACGATCGAATTTCATTTCACTGATAATTCAGTTGAAGATGAAAAGTTATTATATGAGACGATGAGAGGATATCTGACAATTAACAAGCCAACAGTGAGGCTGATGTCCCCCGCCGAAATAGGAAAATAATTAGAGGACACATATAAATTTATCACAAATTATCTTTTACAAAGTATTGAACAATCAAACAGTATATCTTTACTTCCAAAGTCTCGACCAATCAAATTGCGTATCGCTCTACTTACCCTGAGCAGAAAATGCTCATTATCAAACTTAGTCAAGGTGTTACTGTAATGAAACTATACACCAAGTTTCATCAATCTCACTTAATTAGAACTAAAGTTATCATGTCCCAAAGCATCAACCAATCAAATTGCTTATCTCTGCTTACCCTAAGCGGAAAATGCTCATCTTCGAACTCCATCAAGGCATTGACCTAATCAACACATACACCAAGTTTGAACATTCTAGCTCAATTAGGAAGAGAGTTATCGTGCCCCAAAGTATCAACCAATCAAATTGCTTATCTCTGCTTACCCTAAGCGGAAAATGCTCATCTTCGAACTCCATCAAGGCATTGACCTAATAAACACATACACCAAGTTTGAACATTCTAGCTCAATTAAAAGTTATCGTGTCCCAAAGCATCAACCAATCAAATTGCTTATCTCTGCTTACCCTAAGCGGAAAATGCTCATCTTCGAACTCCATCAAGGCATTGACCTAATCAACACATACACCAAGTTTGAACATTCTAGCCCAATTAGGTAGAGAGTTATCGTGTCCCAAAGCATCAACCAATCAAATTGCTTATCTCTGCTTACCGTAAGCGGAAAATGCTCATCTTCGAACTCCATCAAGGCATTGACCTAATAAACACATACACCAAGTTTGAACATTCTAGCTCAATTAGGAAGAGAGTTATTGTGTCCCAAAAAGTGTGACGGACAGACAGACGGACGGACAGACAGACCCATTTTAATAGTCCCCTGCTTTCTTCGAAAGGCGGGGGACAAAAAAAGAGTTGGCTGTCAGTAGATAAAAGATAACGAACAAATTAGAAAAAGTCCGTGCATTACCATGTTTTTATTAAGAACAAAATGAATAAAAACGGGGGAATGCACGGGATTTTTCTATTTTTCTCGTGTCCCTTATCTAGTGACAGCCAATTCTATTTTTGAATTGTGAGATACCCTCTCACCGTCCCATATAATAACTTTTCAACTTCAACGGAATTATCAGTGAAATGAAATTCGATCGATTGTCTGTTATCGCTCGTTACTTCAGCCAGTTATATAGAAGGACAACTCGTGTTTATCATGTTTGGCGTCACTTCCCGTTTCTTCACGTCCTTGTTACACGTCTCCCGTAGCAATGATCTCTGTGTTAAACTTATATTTGGAATGTATTTAACCAGTTGCATTACATATGTAATAATGACTGACACCAATATTGTCCTTTAATAAAATATGTTCTGATAGCTAAATCAATGCAACATTCCCAATTAATGCAAGGAATGAAAATTATGTTTAAAAATTTAGTACAATAAAATTAAAGGGGCTATAGCACTATTTTTTGGAACCTTGAAATACACAAAAATTGTTCTAAAAGCACACATTAATGAATGTATGTAATGTCATTTATATTCAATTTTTGAAAAAAATTACGGTCGGTGAAATACGTGAACAGTTCAAATTGGACAACAGTCGTTTAAGCCTGCTTATTGTAGTGCATTCTTCACATTTTCTAAATTACTATTTTGTCGTTTGTGAATCAGCCTTTACTAATTACTTCCACATTGTGTTCTAGGATATGTTTTTATTTGTTCATTAAAAAATGTCACCAGAAACCATAGAGTACACGACTCGTGTACTGATTATACGATGTTAATTGTGTCTTAAATATTGGATATTAGGATCCTATAGTTTCACGGCAAGATAACAACATCAATATTGATTGAAATTGACCGATATTGAATTCTAGTTAGTGTTTTTAATTTTTCGAATATTAGGGAAAATATTGAGTTAGCTCCTTTCATATTAATTCACCTGCCTTATGATGCTCTAATACATTATTTTCTACTTTCATTTTACTGAGATCACAAACAACCTTTTTTTCCTCTGCAGATCTTTGAACATGTCCATTGCCTTTTGTGCGTCTCTTACAGCCTGCTTCATGCACAACAAAGTTGGTGGAAGGGATACTTTTCTTGCTGAAGAAGACAACAAAGGCACCGTATAAGAAAGGAAGGAATTTTCAAAAGATAATGGCGATCATGTTTGATCCGACTCCCTTTTCTATTTCCATCACTTTTACACCGAAAAACTAGCGGTTAGCCGTCGGTACTTTGTCCACATGGAACTTCCTACTTTCTATTAGGGTTAGGGTCAGGTATTTAAGATTAAATCCTATAACACAAAAATGGGAGTCACATCAAACATGAATGCCAAAATAATTAACAGGCATCGCAACCCAAGATGGTAGTAGTTCAGATGAAATCTCTTCTAATAATTTTGGCATGTAACTGACCAATCTGTTTCACAGAGGATTACGAAAGTCTTCTTATATCTCTGTAAAAGATCACTGTCTTCAACACGTGACGTCACATCACGCGGCGTCAATCATTGGCTCTATGGCACGTGCATTGTTTACATAAGACGTTACTGGTTCGGGCAAAATGGTACCTTTTACTCATTTTAATACCCATTTACGCTAAATAGAAAATAAATTTTACCTACAAATACTTCAAACGTCTTTATTTTTTTTCTAATACATAAAAATAATGTTTTAGAATTTAATTTGTCGGAGGAAAAAAGTTAATATTTAGGGTTCATTAAGTCGCATCGATGTCATCCTAATCAGTGATTGTCGGGGCCTAGCGAATATTCACTGCGGATCAGTGTGGTTACTGACCATTGTCAATATTATATGTTATCTTTAATGTTACAGTAAGTTGGAATATGTGTTTAAACATTACACAATTGATTTATCTAAATCGTATAAAAGCTAACAATCAAAGCAACATACATTTGGTGCAACAATCAGATAAAACACAGATCCTATTTCGTTTTTTTATAGTTCAAAATTTCGTTTTACTTGTCTTTACAACACTAGTATCTGAAAGAGTTGTTATATAACCAGCGTTCTAGTTGATGTGAGGAATTAGCCAATGAAACGGTCTGTTACGGCGAGTTCTTGGCGTGCGGTGCACGGAACTGTGGGTAAACCCTTAGAGACATCAGCGCTGATTGACTAATCAAATGTCTTACCTCTGACGCGACCTCCCACTACAACTGCTCAGATCTTCATGTAGTGTAGGCCATCAAAAGTATATATATATATATATAAAAAACGAAATAGCGATCAACCCCATTCTTAATTTTGTCTTTACACAAGATCTCTCAAAAAAGAATTAATTACCAATTATTGCAATGTTCTTCTTCTTCAGACATGTTGTTTGTTTCAAGGCTTTCTAGTATATTACTATGCTACCGCCTTGTTGATTATCCATTCTGAAAAATTGAACATAAGTACGGGTAAACCCAGCTGAAGAGCCCCGGGGAAGAACGATCTAATTCACTTTTTCAACGAACTCCACAATGGCGCCATCTGGTAACAAATTGTATAAGTTTTCTGTGGAACAATCAATTTCAGTAAAAACGATCGGAGTCACATCGAACCAAGGCCCTTGGGGAATGGCCTCCCGGACAAATACGTCCATCGTACCCTTTATTTGACCTTAATTTGGCTGAAAAGTGGAAGTGAGTTGTTTTACTGGTAATTATGATACGTATTAAACATCATTTTGAAGTTGTAAGTAAACCCACTCGTTGTTCTGTTCGCGTCAAGCATTCTCGTCCAAAGGACTGTTTTGCCTTTTATGCGAAAAGACAAAAATGTGACTTAGATCGTTCTTCCCCTAGATAGTCCGGGAGCTAGGTGGGTTTTGTTCAACATGGAAGGTGCGGAAAGTTTGGCATGCTAGTGGTGTATGGCTGGGTTAGGAGACCCCAGAACCCCAATTCTTAAGTTGCGCCAGTGGTGGGTGTGGTAGGAGGAGCCACCCATAGTACCCCCCAAAATGGGTTTATTCAACATGGAAGGTGCAAGTTCCACTTCAATGGCATTTGATAGAGGAATGTGCCCTGAATTAGGAAATATAACTTAAGAATGGGATTTTTGGTGGAAAGGCCACTTAAGAAGAGGTCAAAGGTTGCTAATTAGCAATTTTTCGATTTTACTGAAAACGATTTTTCCATTTTCTCGTGATCTATTCCAAGTATATTGCACAAAACTACATGGACATTTTTTATCCTGCTAGGAGCAAAAATATGAGACATAAAATAAATGAAGTTTAAGCTAAAAGTATGACATAATCTCAAAAATAACGAAAATATCACTCGACCCCCCATCGGTAATTAAAATGTTAATCAACATGAAAGGTGCGAGTGAGAAACCAAGCCTAAATTGTACGGAATGATATCAGAAATCATTATCATCAACTTATGAATGAAAGTTCTGGTTGTCAGTGTACTTAAGAAGAGAATAATGCGATTATGTCATAATTTTAGCTAAAACATCATTTATTTTATGTCTCATATTTTTGCTCCTAGCAGTATAAAAAATGTCCATGTAGTTTTGTGTAATATACTTGGAATAGACCACGAGTTAATGGAAAAATCGTTTTCAGTAAAATCGAAAAATTAAAATTAGTGACCTTTGACCTCTTCTTAAGTGGCCTTTCCACCAAAAATCCCATTCTTAAGTTATATTTCCTAATTCAGGGCACATTCCTCTATCAAATGCCATTGAAGTGGAACTTGCACCTTCCATGTTGAATAAACCCATTTTGGGGGTACTATGGGTGGCTCCTCCTACCACACCCACCACTGGCGCAACCTAAGAATTGGGTTTCTGGAGTCTCCCAACCCAGCCATACACCACTAGGATGCCAAACCTTCCGCACCTTCCATGTTGAACAAAACCCACCTAGCTCCCGGACTAAGACTCTTCAGTTATTCCCAATTCAATGTTTATCTACTTCTTGGCAAGTGTCTTTATTATTGGAAGTTTTTAATTAGTGAGTTTATATTTTTGGTTTTGAGCTAATATAAATTAGTTTAAATGTTTTGAGTGGTGGTTGTTCTATTGTACGGGTCTAGAATTGTACTGGTCTTTCATTTTAGTATTGGAAATGTTTTAGATTTTTATATAGCTGAATAGCTGAAAGGTATAGCTGAAAGGATAACCTGCTGGAATCTTTCAGTTCTGAAGGGGGGGGGGGGGTCTGTTTCTGAAAAAGGTTGTTTAGCAGGTGATCTGTGATTTTATTTGTCCCGGTTTGTTGTTTGTAAGTGTGAAATGAAATGAAATGAAATGAAATGGGGTTTAACATCCTACTGTTTTGCTCCGAACTGGGCTAATGAAGACGGGCATACGCCATACAGTGTGCTATGAGGGAAATTTTGCCCGGACAGCGGCACTACGGCCTACTCTTATATCGAATTCCAACTGCCAAGGGATCTTTTACGTGCACGCCAATGTGTACACGGGACCTCGGTTTTTCGTCCCATCCGAACGACTAGACAGCTTTCCTTGTCAGCCCCTCCGTCCTGCATCACTGACAAGGGAGAACCACGCCGGAAAATCTGGATGAACTTTCTCGGCCAATGCAGGGATCGAACACCCGACCTCCAGGCTAGCGAGCCAGCGCCTTACCCACCTAGCCACCGTGGCTCCCCTATTTGTAAGTGTAGCTGGGATATAAATAAATTACATGCCTGCATCTTTACCGCATATTACAGATCAGCAGCTAGCTACAAGAACGTAACCAAAAACTCTGAGATATACTGATGTGCTTGTTTTTATGCTACGATTGGATACCTTTAGTTCCAAGTGGCAAACTCAATTTCTTTATTAATGTATGTACCATCTTAAAAATAAGTTAATTTTATACTATTAGTACTTATTACACATACGCAGTCCAATCTACTGAAACAACATTCATTTATCAGCAAATATTGACAATAAAGTAAATCAAGCGTTGTTTTTATCAAAATTGATCCAGGCGTTCATAATTACGCCATTATACCTACTGCGCACTCTGGTCAGATGGGTACTTTGATTGGTTATTGCACACGAGGCCCCGCCTTTATGTGTTACAGACGTAAATTTTAAATGTCGGAAAAGGCAATCTACTGTCGCTTTGATTTAAAAAGAGGGGATTTGTACCCGTTTCAGGTAGGTTTATATGCTTAATTGTAGTTGGGTGTGGCAGAAATATTATAAATAACAATAACCAATCGTTGTTTTGATTAAAAATATTGTCAATTTTGTTTACAAATGCCGGGTGCGAATCGGTCCCGCATGTGCTACATTGAAGGCAATGGCCTCATCTCTTATCTCGAATAGGACGTTAAACCCCATTTCATTTCATTTCATTTCATTTCTTATCTCAAACACGGAGGGTTGAGAGATTAAGGTTTGTTATCTAATCAGCAGCAAGGTCAAACATCGATTTTCCACAAATGAGGCAAGCATAAAATATGTTTATGAGAGAGAGAGAGAGAGAGAGAGAGAGATGGGTTTAATGTCCTCTCGACACAAACTAGGTCATTTCGGGACTAACATATGGTTTAATGTTATTTCAATAATTCGCTTGCGCGTAGCGGATCTTCAGCAGTGGGAGGAAACCGGAGGACCCGGAGAAAACCCACGAGGTTGTACAGGCGACCCTACTCCTTGTCACGTACAACCGGGGATTCGACACCACGTCAGTTGACTCAATGACAGGCCTTATGATACAGCGCGCACGTGCTAACCATTCGCCCCCCCCCCCCCCTAATATGCTTATGGAGTTCGAAGATTTTCTGCTCAGTGTAAGGAGAGCGATAAGCAATTTAATTGGTCGAGACTTTGGAACACAATCACGCTCCTTCTAATAGAAGTAAAATGTACAAACTTGGTGTAGGCGTTCATTGGGTGAATGCCTTGACGGAGTTCGAAGATGAGCAGTTTCTGCTTACGGTAAGCAGAGATAAGCAACATGATAACTATGGTTCTAATTGGAGTAGGGGATGGGGATAATGAAACTCAAGAGTATAAATTCAATTTTATCATTACCTTGACAAAGTTCGATGATGAGAATTTTCTGCTTAGGCTAAGTAGCTAAGCAATTTGGTTGGTCAAGATAATAACTCTTATATGCTTTCAATTGAGATAGAATGTTTAAAGTTGATGTAGATGTTCATTAAGTGAATGTCTTGATTGAGTTCAATGATTAACATTTCCAGCTAAAGCTAAAGCTAAGCAATTTCATCGGTCGATGCTTTGGGACAGGATAACTTAATCCTATCTGACAGAGAGTGATGTATAGTTTTACTACCAGATTAAGTATGGATACTCAGTTTGATTGTTCAATACTTTTGAAAAAGATAAATGTGCAATTAATCACTATGTGTCATCTATTTATTTTGGGATTTCGGCGGGGGACATCAGCCTCACTGTTGGCTTATTATTTTTATGAATGTAATGTAGGAGCACATTGTTCTTTAAACAGAGTCTGGATGTAAAATTCTAAGTTTGGTTGCTAGGGTAACGTTTCCGCTTTTGAAAACACATTTAATGGTTGACAATTTGAGACAAAATTTAATTTAACTAATAGTTTTATATTGGAATCGCTAGGTAGCGGTTGAAGCTTTTGACATGTGTTGTAATTGTTCACAACCAATGTTTATATCGGTGTCAATATCGAGGTCATTGACGATGTCTGTCTGTGTAATGTCCGAATTATTATTACAAACAAGGCGTGGCGTGACTTCCAAGAATGTCCCCACCGGCATGGAAACCGTTTTTGACCGCATTTGGTGTGGTAATTATTTGAAGCATGAACAGAATTAGAACGTTTGTGAATAGTAAATTGTGTGATGAACTCGTAATTTTCTGTAGTTTAGTTATATCCCTATCTAGTGAACACGTAACTTTCTTTCGTCGTGAGTGATTTTCTGAACTTTGTAGTCTAACTGTAATTTGTTGATAAATACATTTACACTAATTGATTTTTTTTTATGCCAGTTATGGTGTCATATGCAGTAAGTATTGATTTACGAAAGTAGCAAGATTGAAAGGGACAATCACCACAAGCGCACGCAGAGAGAGAGAGAGAGAGAGAGAGAGAGAGAGAGAGAGAGATACTTTCGGGAATAACACATGGTTCAATTTTATTTCAATAATTCGCTTGCGCATAGGGGTCTTTCACAATGGGAGGAAACCGGAGGCCCCGGGGAAAACCCACAAGGGTGAAGGTTGGACGGGCGACCCTACTCCTTGTCACGTAGGCCTACAACCGGGGAATCCAAACCACGCCAGTTGACTTAATGACAGACCTTATGATACAGCGCGCACGTGCTAATCATTCGGCCCTCGAACCCCACTCATGTGCATAGAACCAGTATCGTGCTTAGGTCACCTTAGATACGGCTTTAGTTTGTACACGGGTCGTTTATATATACACGGTCAACGATCAATATGACTTTAATACTTCCGGATTTATGTCACTATAATGACGATTTACCTTGTTTGAACTCAAAATTTTAAATTAAAATACCTGACGTTGGTAGCCTATATTTTAGCAGTGCTGCTTGATTTGTCCATTATTCACATAGCACACTATCTAAATTACAAAATTTTCTTTACAATTCCAGTAACCTAACGCACAATACTGGATCTTCAATGAGTTACTTTCTATTTTTCACTCGGCAACCGGCTGCAAATTTCACTCGGCCAACTTCGGTTACTCCTCTACATTGACCAAACCATGTTTCCAAACAGAGTTATCTTTCCGTGACCCGCAAATTATATTTTTAACAATGAGTTGAATTCTATTTTTCACTCGGCAAACTTCGACAGATTCCGGAAAACCTCGGCAGAGATCCAGTATTGTGCCTAAGCTAACAGGATTAAACAAATTTTATGTAAGATGCGCGAAAGACGACTACGCATCACTGGTTATATCTATTTTTACACACCTTGGGATTTTAATTCCTTGGATCTCCCACGCATGTTATATGAAACGTATCAACCAGTTGTGACGTCATCAGAGGGTGATATAAGATATCACCCCCATCCCAAACTTTGGCTGCCTGTCTATAGCTAGCTCCGCCTGAGAACAGGCCCTAAGCTAATTACCCGACATTTTAATTCCTACATCGACGATTTTAGTCGAAAACACTGAGTATGCTTTTAGTAATTTTTAGAAGTATTTATTTCTCTTCTATTGTCATATTGAATGAAATTAAATATGTTTATTTAGCCGCTGTGTGTATGAAAGATGTCAAACTAATCAAAGCCGAATCACAAAATAGTCTTCTAATTATTCAACATGGCGGCGCCCATAAAAGGTAATTTCACAGAGGCGGTTTAGTTTCTTCATCTGACCATCAAGAATTTGTCTCAAACTCAAATTCTGGATTGTAAGTATATCCACGTCAGTTTTATTTGTAATCCGTAAATGAGAAACTATTCCCACAAGGGATTCGGTGGATAATATTCATCATTTTATTTTGCGTATTTCCATGACGAATCTAGACATTCAAAATATAAGATCTTATATCCTGATATCTTCCGGCGCACACATAATTTTTCGCTCAGTATCGTGGTTATTATTCCGCCACACTGACCAACTGTTAAAAAAAGTTCACAGCCCACTCATTTTTGGGCAGGCATTGGGCACACACATTCACTGACGTCTTGTCACTCGAAATTGAAAACCGTGTATCATCTGTATCTTAAGGGGCGGATTGGGCCATTGGGCGATCGGGCCTGTCGGACAAAAAATGAAAAAAATAATTTTATCCAATTCGTCTTAAAAAAAAACCTTTTTCTGCTGAACATTATAGGGGAGGGGGGGGGGTATTCGACCGGCCATGGAGCGATGATGTTCATGTTGTATGTGGCCGGTGGCTTTAACGGGCCGCCACGCCATCACTGGAGTCTGGAATGGGCTGGTATAATAGACTTTCTGGGCCGCGTGTGGGCCGGAATTCGGAATCCCGCAATGGGGATTTCGAATTTCATCCAAATATTTCATCGGATTCACCCGACACTGTCGCCCGAAAATTTACTAATTATTAAGTCACCTGCACCCTGTTTGTGGGGATACACCAGAAACGTCTGCCGATGGTTCGTAACTCAAAAAAAAAAAAAAAATTCAATTTTAACGCCTCAGCAAAATTTGATGATAGCTGGTCAGCTGGCTGAATATGAGTGCGAGACGATTTCCTGCGGCTGGTGTTAAACATTCCTTGTCATTTTTATTAACTCGTTATTTTCAGAGATGAAATTACAGAATTGGGATGTCGGGAATGGTCTTAAATTGCGGGAAATGGCCTCCCATTTCCAAAATGTCGAGGGTAACGCAATTCTCATAATTAAATTTGTATGGCCTTATACTCGAATATTCATTATCTGAACTAATGCTATGTTCATTAATCAATATGTAGTGTGTCAAATGTTCAAGTTTGACAACATTGCACAAAATGAATGCCATTTTGTGAACATGTGGCTACTAAAATGTAATGCACATGTAACAACTTACGACTTATTTTCTTAATTTTGTCACATCAGTCACAGGGCCGATATGGGCTAAACCATTGTCTTATGGGCTGAGGCGGCGAGGATTGGGGCCCTGGGCAGTAAGGGATATTGGGGGCCCTGGGACTGGTAGGTACCAACAGATTTTCGGGGGCCCAGGAAATCGCTGCCTAAATTGTCTCAGATGCACTGAAATTAATACTATTTTTAAAAACAAATTCCTGGAGGAAAACACCCCAGGCACTCAAGGGGGCGGAGTACATACTATTACGATCCGCGGTCAGTACGAACAATTTGAACAAACAACAATGGGGCCCCCGCAAAGTTGGTATGTCCCGGCCCCCCACAAGGTTAATCTGGCACTGCCCCCCCCCCCCGCACACAAATATAAATATTGTTTTTTTTTGTTCCGGGATCGTGTTCCTCATACAAAATCATGGGTTACCACGCCCCTGCCCATCCCCCACATTACACCAAGTAAGCGCCCCTAAGCTATGGCGTAGCGAGTGGATTTCTTTTTTTTTAGGTGGGGGGGGGGGTAGGTGAGGCACGGGGACGGCGCCCCCTCCCCCCTTCCTCCCAGACTCAGCCCCCCCCCCTCAAATTAAAAGCTCAGTATATTACATATCCGTTGCTATCTGAAATGTTTTCGCACTTCGGGCGTTCGATTTCATTATATCATCATTCTTCCACTCCGCTGTGGTCTCATACTATCTCATCACTATCATGCACGGTTATAGTGAACCGCCAATTAGTAGTTCCACTAGTGCGTGTACGAGAGGCTCAGAAATGCTACAGTATCGCATCTTTGGATCTGCCTGTTCCATAAGAGTTGACAGAACATTTGTACATTTGTACATTTGTCGCCCCACGACAAGGTCTTATTTTCTCACTTTACATCCCTTGGCAATTGGAATTCGATATTAGAGCAGGCCGTAGCGCCATTGCCCGGGCAAAATTTCCCTTATAGCACAATGTATGGCGTATGCCCGTCTTCATTAGGCCCATAGGTGTAGGAGCTCAAAGTAATTCAGGGGGCATAAGAGAAAATGGCCCGAAATCAATACCGTTTTTTCGGGCATACATATCATAAGAGAGCTTCGGGCATATTTTCGGGCATGCAGTGGACAAGAAAAAGACGAGAAAATACTTTTCGGGCAGTGTGGATCTCATAGAAATAAGTTAGTTATATTTTTTCTGTAAACGTTTATAGAGAAAAAAGGGCGTCGAATTTTTCATTGCCCGAAAATAAATTTGGGGGGGGGGGGGCAAATGCCCCCCCCCCCTGCATCCCTCCCCCAGCTCCACTCGACACAAACTTTAGCAGTGGGAGGAAACCGGAGGACCCGGAGAATACCCACGAGGTTGGACAGACGATTCTACTCCTTGTCACGTACAACCGGGAAATCGAAACCACGCCAGTTGACTCAATGACAGACCATCCCCTCCCCCTCCTTAAAATGCTAAGCACAATCCTATGCCCCCCCCCCCCCCAACTCTATCAGTTCCACACCCTCTCTCTCTCTCTCTCTCTCTCTCGATATATATTTTGTATTCTGCTGTGGGTATGGTTCTCTGCTTCCATACCCACCCACCCCACAATCCAATGATAAAGACTTAACATTCCCGATCGTCAAGTACAAAGACTTAACATTCTCGATTGTCCAGTACAAAGAAATTAGTAATACCAGGCAGGTGACTTCGTAATTATTATGTGGCTATTAATAGACCTGGAGGAAGTTACGTCATAATAATACCCAGGTAATTATATAACATGGTTAATACTCTTATGTCGCTATAATATAGAATTATATAATATAATAATATTGGCAGACATAAATTGAATAACACAGATTATATATGAAGGTCATTCTATATCCTTACAATCCATATCATTAGGCCCAAATTTGTATATTTTTAAATCAAAAGAATAATTATGAATCCATTATCTTCACTGATGTTCCTAAAACCCGGCCTGACAAGGACAGTGTCTAGTCGTTCGGATGGTGAGAAAAATCTTTGACCCGTCTACACATTAGCGTGCACGTACAATTACCCCATGCACTTGGAATTCGAAATAAAAGTAAGCCGTAGCGTCGCTATCCTGGCAAAATTCCCTGTATGACGTATGCCCGTCTTCTTTGGTCCAGTCGGTGCAGAACAGTAGGACGTTTCATTTCGTTGCATGATACGGATTCGAAAAGCCGAAAGGACCCCACTGCAGTGACGAATCATGAGGTCGCCGGGCCCTGAGATAGCGTAGTTGCCGGGCCCCAGCCACAAAATAACTCACTGAAAAAAGGCCACTTTGTTTCACGACTTTTGCGAAAGGGGCCTTCATTATTTTTTCTACAAAATATATATATATAATTGTCATCAAATCGCCGGGCCCCTAAGCAAGACATTTGCCTGTTGCCCTAATCCGTCGCTGCCCCAATGGAATCGCAAGCCAAAGTTATTTAAATACAAGCTTTTTTTTAACGAGAGAAATGGGGTTTAAGATCTCTTTGTTAAAATTATATTTGGAATGTGTTTTTAAAAACAGTTCTATCACATTACGTAATATTGGTGGAGCTAACATTGTCCATTAAGTGATAGCCGTAATTAAAAAAAACCCACAGTATTTACGAGGTAATCTTTATTCGAAAACACTGTGCTTAGAAATAACCTGTTTCAGTAACATAACAGTAAATTTGCCAGGCACTATATATGCAATATAATATAAAACATTACTATCTCCTGAAATTGTTCTTCCGGTTCTCCGGTTTTCTCCCACTGCTAAAGACCCCAAAGCGCAAGCGAATTATTGAAATAAAATTGAACCATGTGTTAGTCCCGAAATGACCTAGTTTGTGTCTAGTGGACGTTAAACACCATCTCTCTCTCTCTCTCTCTCTCTCTCTCTCTCATTACGGAGTTAATCCGACCCCGTGTTATATAAAATGTTCTATTATCGCCCTTGTAATTACGGGATTGCATAATAAACAACACCCAATATTATTACATTATGTAGCATCTTACGTATTAGGCTTCGTCTTTTAGGTTAGGCGTCTGGATTACGTAACGTTCACGACGCGTATAGTTGACACGATTAGGACTACACATTATTAAATCTAAAAGT